AAGTGCACCTGTTTTTCACTTAGAAGTGAAAGTAATTTACCTTGTTAACATTCGTGCACCTAGGTGCAGCTAATTATAACATTAGATGCAACTAGATATAACGTTAGGTGCACTTAGTATTGATGCTCAGTGTAAATTTTACTTGCACCTGTAATACATATTACTTGCACTTGTAATACATTTTACTTGCCCTTAGGTCCACTGTATGAAACTGCTACTTGCACTTGTAATACATTTTACATGCACTTCGATGTTCAATTATTTACGAAAATGTCACCGCATTTTTTTAAAAAAAATTAGTATTTCTCATCCGTTAGATCTGGACACGTGGACAGATGTCATGCGTTCTGAGTTCTCTCCTGAGCGCACTGTTCTCATTTGAATGGGCTTTTATATATATATATATATATATATATATATATATATATATATATATATATATATATATATATATATATATATATATATATATATATATATATATTTGCACTCGGGTACGAATGGAGTGCGCAGGTGCAAATATGCGAATGTCTGATATCCGTCCACGTGTCCAGATCTAATAGATGAGAACACTGATTTTTTTAAAACATGCGGTGACATTTTCATAAATAATTGAACATCGAAGTGCAAGTAAAATGTATTACAAGTGCATGTAAAATGTATTATAGGTGCAAGTAAAATTTTCACGGGTACTACTACACGCTGAACTCCCCGCAAGAACAAAAATGATGCCAAACAAAACGAACTCAAATCAATGAATGTTAACAAGGCAAAATTACATGCACTTGTAGGCGAAAGTAGGTGCACTTGTAGGTGAAAGTAGGTGCACCCGATCAATGAATGTAGGCAAAAATTACATGCACTTGCAGGCGAAAGTAGCTGCACTTGTAGGTGAAAGTAGGTGCACCCGATCAATGAATGCTGACACATGGCGTGCGCTGATTGGTTCGCATTTCTCTCCTGGGCACCTATTCGCATCTGAACGCGACTATATATATATATATATATATATATATATATATATATATATATATATATATATATATATATATATATATATATATATATATATATATATATAGGGAAGGGATCAGGTGCATTTGTGACTTCCCGTGCGATTGTGCGGTGGATTAATGTGCGTGAGATTTGTACTCAATGTGCCTGAGATTTGTACTTAATGTGCGTCATGTTAATATGCGTGAGTTTTGTACTTAATGTGCTTGAGTATTGTGTTTAATGTGCGTGAGATTTGTGCTTAATGTGCGTGAGTATTTCAGAATTACGAGCTAAGAAGGAAGTAGAACAGAAACTCACTCACATTAACGCACAAGCTTCTTGTTACTTCTTCCTTCAATTTGGCCATGAATTCTGGATTATCAGCTACCTTCAGTGCAGTTGAATGTTTATATAGATGACGCACGCACTGTAAAATTTGCACAGCAGCTAAGTGTGATTTCCTGTTGTATTATTCCCATAATTCTTAACCACCATAGCCCGCCTCCGCATCATCATCATCAGGGAGGGGGCAATGGCTACTGGGGATGGGGAAGAAGCTGACATCAATATTTTCTACTGCATTTTACACATTCACGCACATTAAGTACAAATCTCAGGCACATTAAGCACAACACTCACGCACATTGAGTACAAATCTCACGCACCATTAATCCACCGCACATCCGCACGGGAAGCATTCATCCGCACGAGAACCTTTCACTATATATATATATATATATATATATATATATATATATATATATATATATATATATATATATATATATATATATATATATATATATATATATATATATGAGTAAAAGACATTTTTGGTTTTAGATTTATAGTGGCACAGACAATTTTAGTCCTTTTTTAAAAAAATCAGACAATTTGTGGACACTCTTATTGTGACGAGGACAATTTTAGTCCTCCGTCACTCTTGTCGTTAGATACTCCGTTTGAGAATGAGTATTTACGTCTTTTCACCATACCTCCTCCTTCTTCATCATCTTCTTTGCTTTTTTACTTACGTCAGTCACCCATCGGCCGGAAAACCAAGGTCCAAGGTCATCAGAGATGCTATTGTTCATCGCTGTTCAGTCTTTGTCGGATCCACTTGATGTTACTGCGGGTAAGGCTTGAATTTTGGTATTAGTACCGGTGCCCGGATACCCTCCATCTCGGCTCTACACTACCCGGAGGAGTGTTAGCATTTCAGCAGACTGAGTTTGTAATTGTAGGCAGTCATCGCCGCTGATCTGTAATGTTTCGGCTTGCACGCCGCGATTCTGATCCCAAACGCCACTGGTCTCGATTCGATCAAGAACCGAGGTAATTGCCCTGCAGCGCTCCCATTAGTGTATATAATATTTATGTGTGTCTATATTAGATGTATACGAAGAGTATATTTCTTCTTCTCTGTATATGCGTCTCTACGATTGCGGTGGTGAATTTTTGTAAGTTCTGAAAGATTGGGAAACACTTCAGATGATTGATTCATTGTTCTGATGGAATGTCGCGATCTGTTGTTGCATTAGTTGCGAACATATGGCTTCCAAGTGTTTGCCGATGAATATTCTGGATTGGGAATGCAGGATGTTGAAGTTCTTTTGTATTTTGCTGATTAACTAGGTTCTACAAGCCCTGATGTGCCTGAGAACCGTGAATAGATCCTTGTCCTTGGTCTATTGAGATCTCCTTAATCTTGATTTTATTGAATTCTTGTAAAAATGTTCTATTTATTGCTTAAGAAACCTTTAAAAAGTTTCCATTTTATCAATTCAAGGTTACATGATAAAGCTTGCAGCAGTATAGCTCAGAGCCGTAGATGTTAGAATTTATCTGAACAGAATGAGGGGACTCTGGAGAGTGGGGTACCATGAATTGATTAGTTTGTGTATATGAGTATTTGAAAGCTAAAACTAGTTAAGTACCTCGCCTTTGCAAGCTGCATCTAGTTGGATGTGAATATTTTCTTCACCATTCTTCATTGTTGTTGCTACGTTTGGTAGGTTTGTCACTTTTGGGGTGAGCTGATATTACTTGATCGGCATTATCCCTTGCTTTGAGATGAAGTGGCTTCCATTCGAACAACAGCATCTTCGATGGCCTTGGACCTTGGTTTTCCGGCGGTGGGGGACTGGCGTAAGTAAAGAAGCAGAGCAGATGATGAAGAAGGAGGTATGATGAAAAGACATAAATACCCCTTCTCAAACGAAGTATCTAACGGCAAGAGTGACGGGGGACCAAAATTGTCCTCGTCACAATAAGAGTGTCCACAAATTGTCTGATTTTTTAAAAGATGACCAAAATTGTCCGTGCCACTATAAGTCTAGGACCAAAAATGTCTTTTACTCTATATCAATATATATATATATATATATATATATATATATATATATATATATATATATATATATATATATATATATATATATATATATATATATGGGCACGCTTTCATGCAAATGGACGTCCAAGAGAGAAATAAGAATCATTCAGCGCTATACATGTGTCCATCAACGAATCAGATGTAATTTTTTAACCCTTCTCCGCATTAGTTTGAGATTTTTTTTCTCAATTTTTTGTGGACCCATCATTTTACTATCATATATTTTAATTAATTATTTATTTATTATCATTCTAAAAATTATAATTAAAAAATTAATCAAATATTATTGATAATTATAAATTTAATAATAATATTATTGATGATTATGTAAATTTAATTTAATTGATAATTATGAATTTAATAAACAAAAATAAATTTAATAACCGTGTATGTTTAATTAAAATTAAAAAATAAAATAAACAACAAAAATTAGCCTTTGCATTTTCCATGCAACGATCAGTGTTTAGAAATAAAAAAATAAAACAGAGACTGAAGATTTCATTTTAGAGGGCAACCACTCTGAAATGCCCCACGCGCTCATTGGTTGGTTAGTAAGACTCAGTTGCCTCTCATTGCTGTCTTTAAAAAAAAAAATCTAATAAAAACTTTAAATTTACAAGGTGACCCAAGCTCCAAAAATCATTGTTCGACATTAATTTAAAACATCATCTTAAAATTTTTGTTATTCTAAAAACCATGCAAGGTCCTTATTGGGGATAAGATGTGAGCACATCCCAGATAATAAATGGTATTAAATTACAGTACATCAAAGATCAGATATTCAGATCAATGATTCAATATTTTCAATTTTAAATAAAAGTATTAAATTGAATAAAGTAATATGCATTGACACATGGTAATACATAACGTACAAAAGACTTTTTTTTTTTTACTAAAAAATTAAAAGAAAAGACAGAATTTAAACAAATAAATAAATCATTCTCCGTTGTCCTTGAGTCCCTGCTCCCAACGGCGTTGCTCTTTTCAGCCTTTCTTGGAAGTTGCGAAAACAGGGAGCCCTCAGCCATGCACACATGCTTCCTTCCAAACACATAAATCCAAAAACCCAACCCTACTAAATGTAAATCATACTCCTTCTGTTTTTTCCCATCCCCCCTACCTTTCTAAGGAATTTTCCTGGATATTTTCTGTTTTCAATCTTTTTTTCGAAAAAATCTTCATTTCAATCTTCCAACAACACTGTCTTTGTGCTTTTAATGAATGCCCCTTTTTTCAAATTTTCCACAACTGTCTCTGTGCTTTTAATGCTCCTTTTCCGGGCAAGAAAGTACACTTTCTTTCTATAGACCAAGACCCCACCGTCTTCTTCAACCCAAACATATCACATCCATTTTCTTAAACCAACGATCACGTTCTGAAATTCTTTTGCATCTTCCTGTTGATTTTTCTTTCAATATTTCCCCTCTTTGATCAGATTTGAAATTCTAATCCTTTGGGAATTTCCTTGATAAACTATAGTTTCTTGGAACGCAATTTGTTTCTGGGGATTGTTCATCCTGAGATGATGGGTATTCTCCAATAATGCAATCTTGGAGATACCCATTTTGTCAAGACTCTTGTGTCTGTTCGGAGTTGAGGTTTTGACGATTGTCTGTTTCTGTTTGGGACTTTCTGCAAACACTTGTTTGGTTTTGTTGAGACAATGGGTTGCATTTGTGGAAAGTGTTGCAGAAGATTCCTATCATCTTCTTCGGATGGGGGTAACCGTAACAAGATAAAATTCGGTGCATTTGCGGGTCGAAAACACTCCATTGCTGAAACTTGGGTGGATGTTGTTGCTGTGCCTTCTCACAACTTGAGGTTAGAGTACTGTGCCCTTACACAACGTGGTTATTACCCTGACACCCCTGAGAAGGAAAATCAAGATAGTTTTTGTATTAGAACAGGGCTTCAGGGCAACCCAAATGTCCATTTCTTTGGTGTGTTTGATGGGCATGGGCAATTTGGTACACAGTGTTCCCTTTTTGTCAAGGATAGACTAGTTGAACTCTTATCAAATGATCCCACACTCTTGGATGACCCTATCAAAGCTTACAACTCTGCATTTTTAACAACCAATGAACAACTTCACACTAGTGATATAGATGACTCCATGAGTGGGACAACAGCTATAACAGCTCTGATTGTTGGGGACACATTGTATGTTGCAAATGTGGGTGATTCTAGGGCAGTGCTAGCTGTTAATGAAGGGAATAATGCAGTTGTTGTCAAAGATTTGTCTTCGGATCAGACGCCTTTTAGGGAAGATGAGCGCGAGCGGGTGAAGCTTTGTGGGGCCAGAGTCTTGAGTGTTGATCAAGTGGAGGGACTAAAGGATCCAGGAATTCAGTCATGGGGTGATGAGGAGACTGAAGGCAATGATCCGCCTAGACTATGGGTTCAAAATGGGATGTATCCCGGGACTGCATTTACGCGGAGTGTAGGTGATCATATAGCAGAGAAAATTGGCGTAGTTGCTATTCCAGAAGTGTCAACGATACAGCTAACGCCAAATTATCCCTTCTTTGTAGTTGCAAGTGATGGGGTCTTTGAATTCCTCTCCAGCCAAAGGGCAGTAGACATGGTATGTAATCCGTTTGATGCGAAATTCTATAGATATAATTCCTTTATGATGAAAATGCTATGCTATTAACAGTTTGATTAATAATATGAATATGGATGTGAAATTCTATAGATATAATCATCATCTTCACATGGTATGGCCACATTGTTTTCAATGCTATAATTTCTTTTCACTGCTTCTTTGAGCAATGCAATAAGGATATCTCTGTCCACATTGTTCCATTTCTTTGCCAACTACCATTATTCATCTCAAAGTGTTTAAAAATCTGTACTTAAATATGTAGTTGTGTATCAAAGTACAGTTTGAAACCTTACCCTACTTATCACTGGAAGGAAATTAAAGTGTCCTTGAATTCTAATGTTTAGTATGCATTGCGTACAGCACCAAATGAAGTCCCTTTTTGTTTTTAAATTTGAGCTCATGCATATAAGAATAACATGGAAGAATGTCTTGGGGAATCTTGGCTGATGCATAATTTGTTGCAAGTGGAACGAAATTTTTTTGGAGGTTGAGTTGACCTCGTGTTATGTTTTCTTCTTCCCTTCAAAAGTTATCATCCTCTACTAGTTATTAGTCTTGCCACTTTACGCTATTGAATGTTCAAATTCATATATCGTTTCCTTTGATTATTGTGTGTAGGCAAGCAGATATGCTGATCCTCGAAGTGCATGTTTTCATATAGCTGGAGAATCGTTCAGGCTGTGGCTAGAGCATGAAAAGCGAACAGACGACATAACAATGATCCTTGTACAAATTAAAGACTTGACCAATTCATAATGCAATTACTCAATTTCTTCTTGTAGCAACTGGCTTGAAGATTTTTGTTTGTTCTATAATATCTAGAAGTGGCAATGCTGTTGGTTGTAGTTATAATTAGATTGGGCTTACACTTGGGTTCCATGGTTCTTGTGTAATTAAGATCTGTCTTTTTCTCATTGGAGTTGGAAGATTTAGGCTTTACTTTTAAGTTGTTTAAAATTGAAACATGTATTGAGCTCTCATCCTGAAGGGTGTGGTTGAGGGGAATGGACTCATTCATCCTTAACCAAAGGTCAAGAGTTTGATCCTTAACTTTGAGTTTCAAAAGACAATCCAGCAATATTGTGTTCAACGGTGGAAACCCTGAGTATACCACTCAATTTCTACTGTTTTTCTGATGAGTAAAAATGGTTACAAATCCAAAGTGCAATATGCACAAATAGACAAATAAAGCAAAGCATGTTACACAAAATTGGAATCAATCTATAACTGTCTACAAAGAACACCATTGTACTAGATCACTACAGGGTACATGAGCTTTTCTTCACCATTTAGGTATAAATATGGTGTTGAAAAATTAGATATGCTACATTGTGAGGAAGTAGAGTTTCAAAGGAATTAAAAATATATGGACAACTTCTTATCTATCATGTTCTGCACAAGATTACACTTCTCTAACAACTCACTTAATTTGTTAGTTCCCTTTGATGCCTTGGGGGCTGGCAGAGGTTCACCTCCCTTATTCTTTACTTCTGTTGTTGCATGATTATAAGATGTCGCAAATGTACCATGCTGATCAACATTCATTTCATCCCGCAATGGCTGAACTCCATTAGAAGCCTTTTCAATGTTACGATCATCTAAAGCCATAGGCCACCGTGTTTCAAAGCCTCGTTGCGTATTTAGGATATGAGATTCAGATGCAGATGCAAAAGGGGTACAACCAACTTCAACCATCTCATCAAGGGAGGGTTGCACCAATACAAAAGGCAATACTGATCCATCTTCAACGTTTAAGTTAGACACAGACACAGCTTGAGGTGAAATGGAGAGCTCCGGTTGCTTCAAGACATAAACTGATGAAAATCCTCCATGAGCTAAATTCATTAGCTGCCAATTGAATGCCCGTCTGAAAACCATGACCCAGTTTGGCATGAGATAAAAGTTACGGTTATGGAGTTGAAGCCGAGTGTACTTCTGTAGCATAATGTTCACCTCTTTTGCAGCTATTGACTGTCCCATCAGCTTACTAGTCTCAGCGAAATACTTGAACAAGCAATTCTCAAGTTGTGACATTTGGTACTCAATCTCACTATTCTTATCACTGCCTTTGTATAGCCAACTTACATCCTCCTCAAAAGCTGGAAGTTTGCACCCAGCTATTGCATGCACAAGTGGTTCAATCCTTGCAGCAGAGCTCCATCCTATGCTTGGTAAGTACTGCAAAAAATAACTGTTCTCACTGCCACATTGCTCCAGCAATGCAATTTCAGCGCAGGGCCAACAAGTAGGCGTTGCTTGAGCAGCAGCAGCTACTTCTCTTGCTGATTGATCCAAGGCCTCATTAAAAGCTGAAATCAAGTCATTTGGATTTGTGTTTTGAGCATTAATCTTATCAAGAGCCTCCAATAAGGGATTTAAGTGGTACAGAACCAGTTCACGGGTTTTTACATGGTGAAGTACTGGTTGTGGGGGTGATTCATCTGCTAGCCACTCTAGCCCTTGTCTCAATTGCTCATCACTAAAAAATCCACTCAACTGTTCCGTAGGGTCGTCTTTAAGGAAAACAATGCAAAATGCATTAATCTGTGACTTATCAATGTCATGGAGCCCCAATTTTTCAGTTATGGTCGAGGGATCTAGAAAATTCTTGCATGAACTACTTAATATCAAAAGAGGCAGACAGGAACCAGAAGGCAGAGCCATCAGAAGTTCATAAAGTCTTTTCTTTTGGATCTCCCATGGGCACTCTGACACCAGGAAGACAATAGCACTTGCACCTGCCACAGTCTCACTTAGATTATCAAATTCAGTTTTCTTGATAACTGAGAAACAACTTGTCAGCTCCCCCCCAGATACATTATGAATGCACTTCTTCCATATTGACAGTCTAGGTGATGATAAAACCAGCTCGTCATCAATGCCATCATTAGCAGGGATAAGCTTGGAAAGAAGCCATGATCCAGCAGCCAACTTGTCAACTTCATTTCTTTGGATTGGTTTATTTAAATATTGCATGTCATCATGAGAACATAAAATGACTTTCCAGCAGAGGCAGTTAGCAGCATTGTTCTTTCCAGAAAGTTTAGAGACAACAACATCTGATACATTCAGCCTTGACCATGACTTTTGTTGAATTTCATATCTCTTCATCATCACACCATCAATGTTGAAATCACCAAGCAAATTTGGCTGCTGAAGAACAGGAGAAATTTGGATGAGAATCAAAGGAATGTTAGAGAAAGATAACATGGTATATTGGCATGTATTGAAATTTGAAAATGAGATGAGATGCAGTAAGGAAATACATTTTTACTGCTAATAGGCAGGGTTAGAGAGGAAAATACCAAAAATAAGAAAAGGAGCTGGATCACTTGAAACAGAAAACTACAGATATAAATATTATTTTATGTTTCCGAAAGCTGCCTTGACTTGTGTGTGTGATCAGAAAGAGCCAAGTTGAGGTTCTCTCCAGCAACTCCAAGCAAAGGAATTGAATATAAATTTATAGGAGCCATCTTCTAAGGCTTCTGATTTCAAGACCGGACATCCTTCGGTACTTGAGAGCTAGATAATTTGAGGCAGTGACCTTTCATTTTGTTCTAGAAAGGATAATTTCACATGGACAGTTGGACATCCTTTGGTACTTGAGAGTAATGTTTGGACCCTCTCCCTGCCTATACTGGTCTGCCTACTAACACTAAGTTATATTTTTACATATTTTCCCTTCAAAGAATATAATACTACTTGATAATACAAAAACAAAACAAATTTGGAAATTGGAAATGCAAAGGGTAGAATAAGTAATTAAGTTTATTTTTATTAAAAAAATCCTATGGAATGGAGTGAAATAAAAATGAAAGGTTAGGCCGTTAGGGGATTCAGGTATCTGATAGTTTTAAGCACCTCTTCTTTGAGAAGAACTGTTACAAAGCAAAACAGAACTTACAGTTTTGTAGTGCCAAATTGGTGGGCCCAATGACAGTGAGCTTAATGCAGCTTTTGCTGCTAGCTTTTTCTGCTCTCGCAATTCCCTTTTCTTTGAAGAGTGCCGTCTCCATATTCTGTAGAATGACAATGTGTTAGACTGTTAGTCAGAGGGCAGCAGCACCACAAGCCAGATATAAATCGGTTAAGCAAGCTACACCTTATAATCAGTTTAAGTTTAGCCTCTGCAACTTCTTCATCATAATAACCTGCTTCTGCTACATCAGTTTCAACCTGTTGACAAGAAATCAATTGTTCTTCATCTTCCATGACTTCAACAGGCAAATGTTGTGGAACTGAAGATTTCTCAACAAAGTCAGTATGCACAACTGGCAGTCTCTCTTGTTCCACTCTTGATGCTGTATGTTGGAAAGGTGTTTCTGTAGCTTCAATTTGCTCAACTTTATCAAGAGAGCTTCCAAAAACAGTAGCATACTTTAGTTTTCCCGAATTTCTAAATATGTCCTTTGGAGATTCTGGAGGACCATGCGCAGCTGATACCTTAGGACTTGTAGGAATCACCACAGTTTCGTCTTGACCCTTTTTATGTATAGGCATTTTAAATATTGGCATAATCTTCACCTTATCTTTTGGAGATGACATTGTTTCATAATCAGGCATGTCCTCATCAATGGCCCGGTTAAAACTATCAGACTCAAGAAACTGAACAGAAGCAGGGTTCTCCTCAACTTTATCTAACTGAGGCTCTATCTCTTTTATGGAAGAAATTGTTTCTGCCAGATGTGTACAAAAGACATCTTCAACTATTGCTCTTGACTTTTTACCATAAACAAGTCTTGAACACCTGACCAGATAGTCATTATCAACATTCAGAAATGATCCCTCCTTCACCATATATGGTTCTTTAAATTCCTTTACGGTGAGCCCATGATAGACAAGAAGGCTTTCTATATCCTCTTCCTGATTAGAATATGGAAAAGCAGAAAATTAGAACGATGATTCAACTACAAAAGATATATGAAATCCAAACAAAGTACCTCCATCCCAAGCCATTTGGCAACTTGGCTAACAGGGATTCCTTGGTTATTCTGTAAACCACAGTGCAACGAAGCAAGGGCCTGGGTTCTTAACTGTGTACAGCATCAGAAAAACACAAATCAAGTTAATGCATGTATATAGGCATCTTAAGAAATAACAAGCGGTTAAGCACATCCAATGTCCCATAGGCCCTAGGCAAGTCATGTTTCAACACTAAAGGGGCTTCAACAAAATCACATACTGCAGTACAACTGTCAGCTGGGTGCCACTGTCACTTTCAAGGACTACTTTCCAACCAACAGGAAAAGGTGTGTGTGAGTGTGTAGTTCATGTCATGACTGACAATATCGTAAACAGCAATTGCCCAGGACAGTGAATTAATGCAGATAAATTTTCAATACCTTTGCAAAGTGAGCATGCATCAAGCATGCTTGAAGGTAGCTAGCTTTTCTCGCAAGACGAAAGAAGGCAATAAAATTACCAGTTCTGCAGGCTCTGCAACAATAAAACAAAAGATAACAATAAAATGACTTAATATTTAAAGTTATACGAAGTATCATTTATCTTGGCAGAATCCAATAATGGAATTACCTGGCTACATCACGAGCAAATACAATTTCCGGAGTTTGCCGCATATCTGGTGTCATCTTGGCCAAATCAAGTGACAGTTCTGCGGGCTCAACCTAAAACAATATTTTTATATTCACAGATGATACTGGAGATGCAATCTTAATAATCATGTTTGATTTTAAAGTCTCACTTTGTATCCTGGATGTTTGTCAAGCTTCAAAAGTGCGTAGTAGCCTCTGAATTCTCTCTCTGTTGGCACATCTATTCCTTTTTTCCGGTGATCATCATATAACTGAAATAACTCAACTGATGTTTTGTTCATTTGTTCAATGTTCAGGTGTGCATCAAATCCTTCTGAAAACCCTTCTCCTTTTGTATACTCACATAACTCATGCATAGCAATTATGTGGAGTCGTATCTGACAAAGAGAAT